GCAGATTTTCCAAAGTTAAATGTATCTTTAAGTTCATCATTGGGGCCATATTAGTAGTTTCTTGTACACAGTTACCACTTTGTAGACTAGGAAATGTTTTAGACATAACAACTGCATGCTTCCTATTGATATGCCTTTTAAATGATGACAAGCAATTAAATGATTGTGAACAAGCATCTTCCAAACATGTATAAAAACTATCAGGCTTAAGCAAATGAATTAATTTATAATGTACAACTAAAGCTTTCAATTCACCAACAATATCACAATTGCAAATATAACATATCATAATGAATACTTACCTGACAGACAGAAGAAATTGAAGATCGCAAATTCGCAACTCTCGCAAATGCAATAATTTCAACACAATTATTTAAATTAAAAGACGGTACTTAGGAAATCAAAAGACAAAATCACAAATGACATGTTTAAACAGCAAAACACATTACGAGTGGAAAGTACTATACTGGGAACAGGGCAATGATCGTCACATGGATTGTAGAAATTAGGGTTATGAACTTGGTTTTATTATTTTCATATCGATAATAATAACTATCAAATTAATAATACATATTATTTTTTTTACAAGATATCTTGTTATTCACATAAGGTATTATCTAAATGACAATATTAATATTGTCAAACATGCCATGTTATTAATATATAGCCTATAATATTTTTAGGATAAAATAGCTATTATTGATTCAACAATAATATTATTAATTATTTTTGCGCCAGTAATAATAATTATCATATTGACAATATATTATACTGTTTTAACAAATTATCTTGTTATTCACACAATTTATTATCCAGGTGACAAGATTAATATTGTTGAACTTCTACAATATTATATTATTAATATTACAAATGATATTTTTTTCGGTGCAGTCAGTATTATATTATGTTGTGTAATATTTAATTGTTTCGAATTTATTTTATTAGATTGTTTCGTTTTCAAAATTGTGTGCTTAAGAGCCTTCTTTTTCTTCTTCATAGGACCATTCGTCGGAGACCGTTTACAAAGATACTTAAAGAATATCTCATTTGATATTTTTTAATACTTGAGTGGTATAATATAATAAAATATTTTATAGGTTCACAGGTTATTTCACACCTCTTTTACAGTGAGATTTTCAGGAAATACAAGCGGAGATGTTCCCCTTTAGAAAAACTGATTTTACCGCAATGTGTATAACGCACTGCATCCATAGTATTTCTCATAAAGTGTACTAATCATAATACCTATCATCAATTTTGGAAAAAATTTCCCTTTAAAAATATGTCACTGAAGGCACGTGCCTATAGTGCCTGCACATATAAATACGCCACTGATTACGGTGCTGTTTAGTGTATTATGATAACAATTCTCTACATATGGACACACATTTTATGAATGCTTATTCATTATCTATACTAAAACAAATAAATTCGTCATCATTTATTATGTATAATGTTCATTAAAAATATAGATACCTATCTAGTTCATACCTATTTATAACCTACATAGTAAGTAACCACTATAGCTGTTTTATGGGTAATAGTATTATGTAATTTAAAATTTTAACCGATCCGGAACGGTTACATTCTGGAGCCGGTGTCATACAATTGTTTGTTTTAGTATTGCAGCCAGTAATTCGCAGAAACCAGAACTTAACAGTTAAATATTTTTCTCAAGAACCGGAACCATTTACAAAAAACTCAACATTTTCCAATTTCCGATTAAGTTAAAGTTACGTTGCAAACTACTTCCAATACATTTGCAGGATTTCCGAGTAGTAATATTGTTTCTAAATAATACAGATATCAATGCGTAAAGTCAACTTTAGAGAAAATTATAATAAAATTGTGTCCGGAGGGCATTGATATTGTTACGAACTATATTACAAAAATGTAACAAACAACAGAAAATAAAATGGTCTATTTTCAGAGCACATAAATGGAAATTTCTTACAGTTGATGACGGCAGACAGCAGTTAATAGATATTGTAATTGTGAAATTATTATGACTGACACGTTATAGTTTAAAGGAAGTATTATCGCCAAATGACGCATATAAATGGTTGGAAAAATCAAATTAAATAGTAGAATTTGAAGGTAAACAATGTTTTGATTTTTTTTGATTAAAAAAAAATGTATGCGTTTAAATAAAATTATAACTTTAGTACAAAAAATGCTTTGAGGTATATGTACCAGTGATACATTTTCATACACTTTTAATTTCTTTGGTTTAAAAAAAATTATTCTTCATAAATAATCTTAATATTAAACCTAACCAATATGTAAAAAAATAGGTACTGAAATATATTAATGATGTATTTTAATTTCCAAAAATAATTAAATTACATTATAAAAACGTACTTAAATTTTGATCGTATTAAATATTTTCGACTCGACGTTCTTCTATTTTTGGTCGACAGTATTATTTATATCTTATTACATGAAATATATATTAAGGTATGTCTTCGATAACTTACCGGAAACATTCAATTTTCTATGACTATAACATAAGCATATGATTGTTCGATTATAACCATGATTAATATTTTAATAAACGAATTGAAGAATATATAATATAATAACTATTCTTTGGTTTTATCTTATTGTCTTACGCACACGTGCTGCTCACAAGTGCTCAACTTTTTTTTTTAAAATTGAAACCAAACATTTCAACCACAAATTATTTTCATGAATTAATGTGCATTTTTGAATTTAGGTGTATAAATGTGTGCAATTCAATAAGAGTGAAATATTATTTTTACGAGTAAGACGATTTTTACATAGTTTGATATAGGCAAATTAAGTTTTATTTTGACGAAAAATAAAATGTTTATCTTAAGTTTATTTAAATACTAATTCAATTCAAATCAACTACAAGTACGATTGATGTCTAGTGTGGGATTACGAGATCATAATATATTATATAATATTTTATGTATGTTACTGTTAATGTTGGCAATCAGTACCTACTTAAGCTATTTTCAATAATGGCTATATAAAAATTAATAGTAATTAATCATTATTTGCGAAGTCTATTAATTTGGTTGGGCAAAGTTATTGCCTAGAAATTGTATAAAATGACTAGAATTGATACCTCTTATATTAAAATTGGGAAATATAATAATTTATTAATAATTTATTAGTTTATTACTTGAATCTACAAAATGATTTATTAGGTGTGTTATTACTAATAATTTTTTAGTTATTTTAATTGTTATACGTAATTTATTATTGATTAATATTATAAAAATAAATTACTTTATTTATTTTCACAAGGAAAACTATTATTGGGCATACTTCTATAGACCAGCGGTTCCCAAACTTTTACGACCACGGCACCCTTAAAAAATTGTTTGTGTTTCGCGGAACCCTAATGTCTAATCCAACTCAACTACAATTTTTGTAAATTAAAAAAGGAAAATCAATTCCTTAAACTCTCCAGTCCAAATAATATTTTAATGATACTGTTAATGACTTTTCATTATTAAACTTAGTTTAAAAAAAAATTTTCAATCAAACATTTTTTAAACAACAAACACTAAATAAACATAATTTTCTCAATAATCTCATACATCTAACGGAATCCTTGACATTGTCCCACGGAACCCTAAGGTTCCGCGGAACACACTTTGGGAAACGCTGCTATAGACAGTTAGAATATATACATGGCTCCTATCGCCGGCCTCCACATTGATAAATTTTCATAAAATTTTGTTTTTGTAAAATAATACATATAACATATTATAGGTATTCAGTATCTAAATTTTGCATTCTTTTGATTAACAACCAATAAATATGCTTTTGCCACACATATAGCCCCTATAGACACGTAATTTCTACCCCCCTTCACTGCTCTACTAACACGAAATTCTTTGAATTAAAAATATTTAACTCACAGCTCCAAAATTATATAGTATTTGCACGAAACGTCTGAACATTGCACGTCATTCCACCACCTTCAAAAACCATTTTTCAATTCACATATTATGTCCCCTACTCTGTTTAAAATATCGAACCTTACTCATACAGAGATACTGAGCGTGTTTCCCATAATATTATCGTTAACACGTACTGCTTCTGATTCATGATACAGTGACCTACACTGAATGCATATTATTATTATGTTGTCATCGTCAACAGAGGTATAGTTATATTATCGAACAAATTTAACAATACAATTTATTTTTTGTGAGATCGTTAATTAATAATTTGGTAAGACTTTTTCAGGGCGAGGTGAGGTGTGGTTGTTCTACTGCAGTTATAACTGTCATGAAGGCTATTCTTCCGTTTTGCGACCTTTGCCGTCGTCGACTAGTGACATAAAAATGTGTTATTATCTTTTATTAGATTTCGAATTTTCAACAATAGAAACGTCGTTATGATAATATCACAATATGATAACTTGAAATATACACTTTAAAATAATGAATACTGCAAAAAAAAATTTGATTTTCAAAAAAAAATGTCTTTATTACGAAACATACCCAATCATAACAGATTAAAACAACTACTCCCGACTGAATTATCTTTATCTAGAAGCGACTGTAGATAATATAAGAAAACAAATTCCTTGAGAACCATAGGATATGTGGGTAAAACCAATGAATAATAATAAAACAAATGGTTTTAAAACACTTAGGTGTTCGTAAAATACAAAAATACCAACAATGCACATCAAAATATGACAAAATATGCAAAAATATGAGTTCAAAAACCATCCATAGGTATGCAGTGAAAAATCGTAAAATACAGAAATATGCAGTACTACATTACTACAACATCAAAAAAACGAGTAAAAAATATGCAAAGTAAAACTTTGTACTTTGTATTTATTTCAACTATAATTCGAACTTGTAGCTTATCTATCTAATTTTCGGACTGTTAAAAAAAAAAACCATGCAAATGCATATAAATCCGGGCCCCGACAATAGACATTATTTACTGAGATACGTCATCGACGTTGAACGACAATACCGCGGTATGTAGGTATATAAAACACCAACGCCAGTCAGCGATCCGTTCATTGTCCACTATGAAGTCCAACGGGGCAGTCATGCAAGCTTTTTTCGCTTTCGCTTTTCTCGTAGTCGCGTCCGGATTGTCCGACGACACGTGGTCCGTCGCGTCCAACGGCACCGGCAGAGCTATGCAACCGGACAACCGTTGCATATTGCAAATGGACGATATATACAGAGGTAACGCATAATCGTATGCTATAAAATAATATTTTTCAATAATTATACTATGCAAAATACGTGAAAGTTATCTAACAAATTTTTTTAACTCCCTCAAGTGTCAAGTCGAGGAGTCGATGTAGAAAAATGTAAGTAAATTTAGAGTTAAAAGTTCTTTTTGTTTTTTTTTTTTTGTTTTAACTTGTTAATAGTAAATGTCACGAGTTAAATAGAAATAAATTAACTCGACTTAGCTAAAAATCAGGTTACTTTGTCCGTTGTTTTTTTTATAACTGGATATTTAGGCTATAATTTAATAAAAATATATACAGGATAACAAAAGAATATAATAAAAACAAAAAGTAACAGTCATTGGTAGAACATAAGAAGGTGAAGAGCACAGCCAATAATAGAATCCTATATTATAATAGAATATAATATTAATATTAATTTATATTTTAATCAGAATAGCTATCCAGATTAATTTTTGATTAGTAAATAATATTTCAGTGATCTCATAGTATTGTATTATTGTTAAACAGTGGAAATGAATTAAAAAACTATTTTAAAAAAGTAATTTATTATGTAACATAAATTAAACATATAAAAAAATGTAAATATATTATTACATACAAAATATATTACATATTTTAAATAACTCATTTCTATTTTTTTCTGGTTAAGAAATATGTTCAGCCTTGAATCTTGATGATACGAAACCTAACCTGTGTCATGTCAAAGATAAAATTTGACCAATATTGTTAAGAACATATTTGTTGGATAATCTGTTTTGATGTATTAAGTTATTATTGTTAAATTCTAATTAGTATACACGGCGTAGGGCTCTAAGTGAAGTCAGGTTAGGCTGAGGGTAGGTTGAGGACTTGAGGTTGTGTTTCGTAAACATTGCACATTTGGATGCATGCCTAATTATAATTACAACGATTTATTTATTGACAATAATTAATATTATGTTTTCAGTGAATTATTGTTCGAACAGAGCGTGTCCGAACTGGAAGTGCGAAGACGATTCTTAAATTATACACGGGACGTGTTGCGGGTGCCCCAACATTTTCGGAGGTAAATAAATAACTAAATAATAATAATAAGTAATAACATAATCGGTACAATAGTAAATACTAATAAAATATAGTACGACGTCATGGTATGTACTACACTACGCAGTTGGAGGACATCGAACGATAATTTTGTAATTTTTATCATTTACACGTAGTGTAATTTTAGTAGCGAATTGTCGACAATGAGTTGATATGGCAAAATATATTTTTCTATACGATCGCACAATTTTTAACTACGCAAAAAAAATATCAATTATTTGTTTACTGCGTAAATATTTTTTAAGGGGGTAAATATAGGCATTATAACTGTCGTCTCGGAACGTCTTGGTGCATTTCTAATAGTTTTGATACACACTAATATATTATTTTAATCATGTGTACATTTTCTGATTACGATTGGGAATGTAATGGACATTATTTTATTCAATACATTTTTTTTTAAATGCAGTTCAAATATTAAAAATGAGGTCCTAGCCTAAATATTTGGTGTTTAGACATAATCGTCTGAGAAAACCATATGAATTTGGTTTAATGGATATTAAATATGAAAACAGATTACGATTCATTTAATACGTTTACTATACTTTCACATAAGACATTCTCTTTACTTGTTTTTAACTGAAATATAAAAAAACGAAACATTTTATGTCGATGTAAAGAGTTTCCGTAATATTAAAAACCACTTAAATTAAAACTGAGTAAACTTGTTCATGAAACAAAATTAAAAATCGTTAGACCTAAGTCACATAGAAAATATTTTTGTCTAGTGATACCATCCTTTATATTATTGTTTCGAGTTGCTTGAAAATAGATCATATTGCCTACAATAATATTTACCATGTTTCAGCGATAATATTACCAGAGTTGACTGTTGGGATATATATAAATTATGATAAGCGCATGCTATGACGTAAGACACAATAGTATACATTATACAATCTTACGGTCCGAGCTAAAAATTAAATATAGTTGACATTATTATTAAGTATTTTTTGAGTATCTCCTTATTTTCTTATAATATAAGATTATTTATAGTTTTAGTTTATAATGGCCGAGATACAATTAATCGACAAATCGTATTATTGTCGAGTCGTTATTAAGTTATATTCATACATATCATTTATAATCAAAAATATATATTAAAAAAAATGTTGTAGTGTAGAAATAAGACAAATATAATTTCAGAACTTTCAGTTAGTATCTCAATATTAATATCCATAATTACATATATTTTTACTTTAATTTGCAGTATATATATTTTTTTCTTAAATTAATAATTTTTCATTTCTACATTTTTAAACTTGTAGTTGACACTGATATATTATACAATTATTATAATCTTATTTCTGTAGGCCACTTTACAATATCATAACCTAACCTATAGGACAATTTTCAAAATTTGATGAGAAAATGTCCGACATTCAAAGTTTTGTATCCTTTACGATATTTTTATATAAGTTGGTATACTCGTATTATATAAAAAACAAACGGTTTATGAAATCATCTCACTGGAATACGCCATATTGTTTTGATTGATAAAAATTTCGTATTCACTCAACAACAAGTAAGTTGACAAGTGAGCTGATCAAACGACACAAGATACAACCATGTTGTTTGAATTGCGGTATACTGTTGTGCATCGGGCGGTGAAATTTGTTTCGCTTACCTATTATTTATATAATATTGAGCCTGGTGACAACTACTCTTTAATTTTTACAAACGTTTCTATAGAGAGTTTTAAAAAAACCATTATGATAATATTATGAAAAACGGCACTAAAAAAACAGTAGGTAGGTATTTTCATTACGTCATAATTTTTTTCACCAAATTGGCGATGTTGGTGATTTAAAAACCAGACCGGTAATAAAGAGTATTGACCACCTGGTAGGTATAATAAATATCTAAACAGCAGTATTATTGAAAACAATCAATTCCGAGTAGTATTCCAGCTTTTGGATTAGTTATTCAGTTGATTTGTGTTGGTTATCGATCATGATGAGTTGAAGGTCTAAACGTTCTAGACAGACCCTAGTAAGGTTTAAAGAGTCGATTATTTCAACGCTGTAACCTGGTTTAGTCTTACGTGAAATTATTGTGAATAGAGTGTTCTAAAATTAAAATGTATGGAAAAATTAGTTGACAATGAAGACACATATTTTGATTTTGGTGTGTGGGTAAAAATGTTATATTTTTACTGTATATATTTTACAGGAAGTAATTTCAAGCAAATGTCAAAGATTAACGAAAGAAAGTTTGAATGTTGTGATCGTGAACAAGTAGAAATGACGTTAACCAAAAATCAACTATCGACAAGTATAGAAACAAAAAATGAACCAAAGCGCTCGGATAATTTTAAAGGAATGAAATCGGTTCAAAGTGCAATAAAAATTTTGAAGATCGAAAATGAAAAAAATTATAATGCAAATGAATATGTATCAAACACAATTTTGACTGCTAGTCATGAAACCAATTTTAAAAAACAATTACTTTTAAGAAACGTAATTTTTATAAAAGGAATACCACTAACTAAACATGAAAACTACCCACGAATCATAAAAGAAATTGCTTTGAAAACCAATACGAAAATCAACGTTATAAGGGCGTTTAGATTTAACATAAGTAGCACTTCAAACAGCATTGTTGTTGCTAAACTTGAAACTTTCGAAATGAAGAAAAACCTTATCTACAATAGTAAAATATCTAAACTTACAGCAAATAATATTTGTAGTAATTGGCCTAAAAAAAACATTTATATCGGTGATTTATTAAGTAACAGGCCTTTGTGAATCTTTATCGTAAAAGGTTTCAGCTTTAAAAGAAAGCAATTTATAATTCTTTTGGATCAACAACGGTGATATCCTAATGAAAAAAGTAAAAAAATCCAAAAAAGTCCATATATATAAGAAATGTTCAAGACACCATCAATTTGTAAGACTGTTAAAGTTTATAATTTTTTTCAGTAAATAAATATAAAAAATGATATTATGTTTACACCTTTAGTCTTAGTACCTTAGTGTTAGTACTTATCCATTAGCTTAATAAGTTATGTCTTACAAATATAGTTACAGTTTAGATACTTTAATCATAATTTATATGAAGTTATACGTTCAACTATAAATGTAATTCACATGATAATGGTAGGTAATCTAGATCATAAATATATGGCAACAATACTTATGATATTCTAGACCTACTATGTATAACAATCGAATTACAACAACTTTTTTAGACTTGTTAAATGTCATAATATCAATCTATTAATATCGTGTTCATTACATTTAAAGTGTAAAAGCTTTACATTTTGTTTTAGTGTTCTCTTCTTAATAATTAATATCTTCGTTTTTTATTTCTGTTATTACCATAACTCATAAGTTATACTTATAAATTTGAACTTTAAAGCATTAGATAACTATTCTTGCTCTAATAAGAGGTCTAACCTCAGTGAAGAGGAATGCTAGATTTTCCTTTTGTACCAATACATAGTATTGTATGAACCTGTACGCAACATTTAATTATAGGTATAAAAATATGTATTGTTATTTTTTATTGTTATGAAATAAAAACTAAATAGAGTCAACAAATGTTTCAAATATTTGATTTGAAAGATACCTACCAAGAACGGTAAAATTACTTACTAAAATGAAGCATCTGTTGAATGTTTAAAAACTAACCAAACGAAAAGTTGCAACAAAAATATTGAACGTCTTTTAATTAAATATTGTAAAATAGTTATATCTAGTTGTTTAAATGCGATTATGGGTTTAATAATATTTAGTATTTTTATTTTATTTTAGATGATGTTCCGGTACTATGTGTTAAGGATTTGAAATGCCCACGTTTAATGAAGGAACTGTGCAATAACTACAACTTTATGATTTTGTGTTGTTGTTCACGAATCAATAATAATTATTATAACTACAATAAATAATTTATATTTTGTTCTGTCGAATTATTAAATATCGAAATTAATTCAACTTACTTACAATAATAAATGTTTAACATAACCGATGATGTCTACGACTGTCAAATTATAGAAAAATAAATACTGTTTGCAATAAACAATAATAATTTTGTCAAATGTATTGTCGGGCGAGTGTTTTCGTTAGTAAAAATATTCAATGAATGTGTTTACACTACGATATAGCCAAAACATTTCCTTGGTTCCTTTGTCACGCATAAGTGTGATAACATCTTGTAATCTACATTTAAAGAGATAAGTAAAATTTGTACAAACCAACAGTTTTGTAAATATGAAATATAATTACATATCACTATAGCATTGACAACTTTAAGCGCATTTACTAATAATTAGATTGATAGCTGGGGAGGGGAGATATATGGAATATAATAATTTAAAAAAACAATATTATTATTCACATATTTTTTGTAATCTCGTATAGTAAGTGATTCATAGACTATTTGTAATTTAAATTGTACTGATTGTTTTTGCCAATTTTGTTTTAATTAACTCGTTGTTTGTAATACACTGGGAAAAAATGTTTATTTTTTAACAATATCTAGGTGCTTATCTCATACGCTGAAATTTCCCAATTGTGTAATGATTGTTAAATTAAAAATAACTATTAAGAGCATTGACACACACGAATCACAAAACTAATAAGTGGATTTCCCAGTTAGGCATCGACCAACACCGGAGACGACTGACTTGCTAGACACTCCAACACGGCCTTAGGTTTTATATTTTTAATTTTTATACATAATGTGCACCAGGCATACATCGGGGGGCCATATCAAGCCCGTTCAATTACCGATTTACACGTGCCATGAGATATTGCTAGGCACTCAAACTCGACTTTCAAAGTTCAAACACTCTGGTCTTCAAAACGAGACTGCCAAAGCGTCAAGCATTATCACAACCCTTTATCAACAAATCTCATCACTGACGTTTTACTTATCACCCCTTTAAACTTATGAATTTTGACCGACCGTAGACGTGTGAAGTCCTATGAGGGCGACTTATATGATGTTATGCAAACGACTATACGTTTGAAGTCAGTAACCACTTTCAGCGAGTTACACAGACATGGCAGCCTAGTAATTTAATAAGATGTAAATGTAAATATATCCGTAAATACCTTGATCATAATATACTGTGGATGGAGCAATGCTCATCGCACCGGAGTAAACAATTTGACCCACATAATACAAGCGAAGAATTTCTGAATTCGATATGTTTGAAGTGTACATGCGTATGGCGAACCATCGCCTATTTTGACGTAGTTTTACGATTAATTTGTGTTTAAAAAAATATATCAATTCAAATAGATGAATATGTGACATTTATTTTTTGGGCATGTGCTGTTTATTCATTTAATTCGATGATGTGGGTGTGCCCATTGCGTGTATTGTTTCATATCTATCAGGTGGCTCATGAGACTAGACTCGAAATTATGTAAATAATATATGTTTAAAAACATTAATAGCTTAAATAACGAGCGTCTTACGATTAATGTACCATCCGGTTAATGATATTTTATAAATTTAAAATAAATTAAGTCCTTGTTAACGTATTTAATCAAGGGTTTATCTCGACCATAACCTGTGCCTTTCATTCAACCTATATTTAGTACCTGACATCTCGAACTACAATAGATTGATACATTTACCTAATTAATAATATTACGAACGAATTTATTTATTTTATTAGTTTATTGAGAAAACATTTAGGTAGGTAACAATAGTAGGTACTACTGTAGACAGAAACATGTAACGAGAAAAAAGTAGTTAATAAATAATCATTGAATAGTAATGTAAAAAATAATGTGATCCGATGATTTTGATTGGTATAACAAATCGTCTTCGGCCTCTTTCGAACTCTTCAATTCGGTTATATTTTATTTCTTACTGTATGGGGTGAAATGGCTAAAATATCTATTAGTTCTAGCATCTTGAATCAATAGTGTTATATCTTTAGACTTTAATGTTGTCCGTCAGCCGATTTCGCAATGAAAAAACAACAATTATATACAAAAGTTAAAACATACACATATTATTTTATTTTTATATGTACACAATAATATATAATAGGTGTATTATTTTATTGCATACATAAGTTTATTTTGTAGAGCTTGAAATAGATTTTAAATATCGATGGTGAAAATCATCCAACAAAGTATAACAAAAACATGAATAATAAAATCGTAAGACTATTAAAACAATATAATATTAAATTAAAAAATATGTTTAAAATGTAATTGCAAATCAAAAAAAGACTTTTTTTATTTTTATTTGTATAGCTTTTAGTACTAAGCTATTACAACTCAACAATTTTATTATAATAATATATAATATGAAATATAATAGTTTATTAATATTAGGTAGGTACTTACTTTATTTTTATTTTTTTTATGAACGACGAATCTAACCCTTTTAATGTTTGAAATATTCAATTTCTTCAAATATGATTTGGCCTCATTTACTACATTAACCTGTACATATAGTTAAGTTAAATTACAATAATTATTGATTGTACATAATATTGTTATTATTATTGCATATTTTCATCATACAGAACAACTTGGTCATTTCATTAATCTAAACAATAGTATCAAAATGTCGACGGTTAAATGTAGGTACGTATATATTTTGTTATTTAAGCAGCAGAAGATGACTCACGATACGACAAGCGTATGTCTCATAATATTGAGGATACGTGATTTATATATGATTCGAGAAAAGTTAAGAATACAAGAATGTTTTGACTGTAAATAATATGCTTAAAGTTTAATACTTATTAGGAATAGAAACTCCCATGGAAATAATTTTTTTAATTAATTTAATAGTGTACGTGTATAATAAATAATAAGTACACAGTGTTCAATTTGACATAGGTATCGCTTTTAAATAGTAGTTATTTTTAAAAGCAGGCTTTTCATCGTGTGTTTTTGTAGCCTTGCAAACTTAATTGTAATCGTATAAGTTATTATAATACATACATACATTCAATCGTTGAAAATCGATATTATTTTTTATAAAAATGTTTTGATACTGTAGTTTGAAAATATTGTTTCTAAAAATGACGATTCTCATTTGAGAAGATTTGTAAAATTGAATTATTAATTGAATCGGTGGCGTACAGTTGGTATTGTAGCCAAAACATTCCAATATTTTATCCAGATTGGCCTAGTTATGTGATAATATTTTTTAAACTAATTTTATTTCATTGTTATGTCTACTTGATATTGGCCAGTCTACTTTCCCCAATTATCTCAATTCAAAAAATTATTGTACATATAATTTGAATTTTTTTTAAATTACAGAATTTTCCAATTTTTTTTATCGAATTTTTGAGGACAACTTTTGAGTCTTACTACAGACTTAATAGTGCATAATAATACGTACTTTACTATCATCTAATCTTGATTTTACTTTAAAGTTGGTTTCCAACAATGGCTCATCATCCTTGCGTAATGTCATCGTGGATAACAACTTTGTCATTTCATTAATCTAAATAAAATTATCAAAATATCAACGGATGAATGTATTTATATAATTTGTTATTTTAAACATAAGATAATTACACAATACACGTGTCTAAGTTAAGTGCATGTGATATTTATAAATTAAATGTACTTAAGAATATTAAAGATACTTGATTATATACGATTCGAGAAAAGTTAAGAAACACAAAAAGTTTTACTGTTTATAATATGTCTTAAGTCTAAAATGTATTATTAGTAAAAACTCTCAGAAAATCATTTTTTTAATAATTTTTTAGTGTACTTGCGTATTATAAATAATCAGTACAATATGGCGTTCAATTTGACATAGCCTCAAAAGAATCGTCTTTTTTAAAAACAGGATCTTCTTCGAATATTTTAGCTTCGAAAACTTTAATGTCATTATATTTATATAAGTTATTGTGTCCATGGGGTCCAGACACCCCCCCCCCCCCTTCCGACATTTTTAGTAAAATGTATTTTGATGCTAAAATTAAAATTCCGCGTACTACGAATAAACAAAATTATAGGGATAATTATAAATTATAATATTNAAAATTCCGCGTACTACGAATAAACAAAATTATAGGGATAATTATAAATTATAATATTTTTATTCATGTAATTCACTAGAAGAGTATAATAAAATCTCTGAATTTTTACCATGTTTAGATGGTTTTATTTTACATCTCGAAAATAGGTTTGAACAGAATAATGATATTTTATGGTCAATAGAAATATTGTAACCAAAATACGCTTTAGAAAAAAACGTCGAAAAAACTAAAAATCTCACTTTTTTCACTTGATCCCCCCCAAATAAAATCCTGGCTACGTCCCTGTATATTCTATACCTACATTCAATGGCAGAAAATTGATAATAATTGCAGATCAATACTTTTATAAGGTTAAGTTTGAAAAGCAAACAAAACGTGATGAAGAACCTGCTATCAAAAATGACTACCCTTATATAAGGCTACATATTAAATTGAATAATTAAGGGGGTAGGTTGCAGACAGTTATTTTATTCACAACGTACCAATCTTTTGTCCATCGTTCTTGCAATGTGATAATACTTTTTAAAACTGATTTGAATTCACTATTATGTCTATTTGAAACAGTTTACCTCCCCCCCCCAGTATCAAAACCAATAACGTCTATATATATACATTTAGTTTGAATATTTTAAAATTTCGGAATTCAAATTGACCGATCTCAATAAATAGGCAATATAACAAACTGAGGACAGTCTTCTGAAATATTACCATATATTTAGCTTGATAGGTAGGACGGACAAAAAGAAAATAGAAACTACACAAAATTGAGTATAAACATTGTTTACTGTTCACTCACGAAACACCGATGCATGTAGGCATGACATTTGAAAATTGCGTATTTCGAACTCCTTAAAAATTGTCCACCACCGATTCCCTTTATACAATTGTACGTGAATTATATAAAACACAAACATAGAATAGATAATACATTGTTTGTACCTATTCCATAAATAATTTTTAAGTGATAGAATACTAAAATAACGAAATCTAATTTTTATAAAACATAATATACATTATATACCTATCTAGCTATAATATGAATAATAATGCGTACCGAATCTTCTAATAGAATTCCGTCTCCAACAAATTTTTGTTTTACATATCCTTGGGACGACATGGTATTAGGCAATTTATTAGTAAACATACTCATATAATAGTCTACAGTTCTATGGACAATAAATGCTGAGAACGCGTTTAGTTATGGAGCGTACAAAATTAATACTGTGTAAACGATTAGTACTAATAATAAATAGGTACACAATTTAATATCCATGGTTACGTTTAACTGTAAAAGTATACTTTTATTCTTAAGTTATTCGTTTAAATACCTGTCTAATTTAATCTAAGTTAAAAATTAAGATACCTAAAAAAAGTTGTGTTCATAAACTTAGAATTAGTGGTAATGTTCGGATTAATAATTCCATTTCTTTATTTCAATGTTTTCTAATCGGTTAAGTTCTAGTAAGTTAAAGTTCTATAGAATAGAGAATTTGCACCAAGTATTCTTGGAAACGCAGTTATAAGAACAACACGTGTGCAAATCTAACATTCTCAAGTAATTAAATATTCTACACTTCTACCTATATAGCTTATATAGTTTCTACCAATAATTGTATGTAAGTATCGTGTCAACCAACGTTTCACAGTTTCTCACGGATATGGGGGCTTTGATGATTTATAAACTATGGTAATTAATATTAAAACTTTCAATATTTTACAACTTGACATTACGATATTTCACTAAACATAGTGAATCTAACATTATTATTTACTCTTATCAAACAAACTGTAAATTCAAACATTTAAAATATGTGAAGTGTGCTTATATTAATAATTCAAATACAGGGTGATTTTTTAAAGTAAAGTTTGTATTGTCACAAGATCACACTTAAATGATACAAAAATCTCAAGTATTCGTAAATATGATTTTCAAATGTAATTAAAAATAATTAAACATTTAAAAATGTTGTTGGTTTGGCTTTTGAGATTTGTGTTGATATCGTTTGATTGATTTTATTATGTGCTTTTATAGCGGTTGACTTTGAGGTGCTTAGTAAGTTTTTGCGAATTGATGGACTTTTACGCCCTGGTTGTTTTTGTTTGTACACGTACCTTTTTTTTTTTTTTTTTTTTTTTTTTTTTTTTTT